ATTATCAGACTACTGTTCGTTGTGTGTGGGAGAACGATGCATGGCATGTACACACTTGTGTGAGATGGTCTCCAGGACCCATGCACATACATCAACCAAATGATCGCACTTTGCAAAACGAACAACAAAAATGGCTGACAAACTGTTCTTTTGCCTTTTCCTTTGTGGTCCTTTCTTTCCTTTTTCTGTCATTTGGATTAGTTCATGGCTTCCCTGTTATTTGTTCTTTTCTCTCTCCTTGTACTGTGCCCTCACGTGCAAGGCTCGCGATGTTGATGTAGCTGTGCACAAGCGGTCGACATCCCTGTGTACAACCCGCCTGCATGTTATCAAAAAGAAACAAGAGTAAAGGCGGAGGGGTTAAAGAGATGAAACATTGAAAGGAAGACAAAGGGATAGAGAATATTATAGACGTAGCACCAGATGACATGTCTGGTCTGCAGTGTTAGCGTCCTCGTTGGTCTGTGTATTGCATGCCTGCTGTAAATGGAGGCTAAAGAGTGGAAGGGGGGGGGGGGGGGTCCTCTTTCTCGTATCCCCTTCCATTCCCATCCCTCCGAGAAAACGCACCTCCCATCTCCTCAACCTGTCTCTTATACACATCTAGATGTGTATAAGAGACAGGGCTAAAGAGTGGAAGGGGGGGGGGGGGGGTCCTCTTTCTCGTATCCCCTTCCATTCCCATCCCTCCGAGAAAACGCACCTCCCATCTCCTCAACTCCCCAATCTTTCACATAACCCATCCTGGCCTCCGTCAACCACTACTTCCGGCAACGGCCCCTCGTCCCCAGGGCCTCAGCTATGCATTGCGACCTTGGCCGAGCACGAGAATATGCATTCACTTCATACACTTTTCATAAACATGAAAGGTCACACTGAAGACTGTTCCAGATAAGATATCTATACATCCAGGAGGAAAATGGATAGCTGTGGTGATGTTTAAAACCCAGGAGGCGACACTGAGGCCCCCACATAGCACCACAAACATTACCACCGAAAGCACCCTGGTCAACTTATTTCATGTGCTCTGAATCTGAAACGAAGAAGCATAACACACGAATCCCACATACGGTTAAAACACTGTGTGTGCTGTCTCTTATACACATCTAGATGTGTATAAGAGACAGCTTGGAGACTATCTGCAGGGGTAGCACTAATTCACTGGAAGGCATATTGATGAGTAGGCAAGATATTGGTGTTGCGCTGATGAGCGCTGGACTCAGGG